TGTGTGTGTGTGTGTGTGTGTGTCTGTCTGTGTGTCTGTGTGTGTGTGTGTGTTTGTGTGTGTGTCTCTGTGTGTGTGTGTGTGTGTGTTTGTGTGTGTGTGTGTGTCTGTGTGTGTGTGTGTGTGTCTGTGTGTCTGTGTGTGTGTGTGTGTGTCTGTGTCTCTGTGGTGTGGTTGCGCTCACCTGTCCTTTTCTGAGTCTGTGTTCTTGTAATCCAGGAGTTCATGCTTGCACCAACACAGCGATGTCAGTCTTCGGGGAGAACCGTCAAGACTCTGCGCTTCGAGATTAAGGGGAAGGTGGACCCGGACGTCCTGCGTGCCAAGAAGCAGAAGCTCTCGGAAGCATTGCAGCACTTGAGCAACAGCGCTGGTGCAGGAGAGGCAGACTGAGCGCCTATGCCGGTGGGAGGGGGTGCCTGTGGGGTCTAAACTGGAGTCAACTCTGTCATGGAGACTTGTTGCAGGGAGTCAGACAGCTGGCCAGAGGAACAGTCCTCCCAAGCTTTCTTTTTTGAACTGGCCAGAGGCCACAGCACAGTAGCGCTTGCCAGAAGATCTACTTTCGACACGCATCACGCCGCTTCTAGCTGCTGAAACGAGTGCCAAATGACAGTCCTGCGACACTACCTCTCTGCGTGATCGTGTTCTGTGTACATCTGAACATGTTATTGCTCAGGTCACCTGTGCCCGGCGTGGCGTGCAGGAGCCACGCTTCCGACGGCCGTCGCAGAGGCTGGCTGGCAGCCTGGGACGCTCCCTGAAATTACCTCGGCGTATTTTGCAATTCTGGCGGGTAGTCTTACTCAGGGGGTTTCGCCCAATTACATGCGTAATGGTGTCCATGGTGGCTGAGCTAGCTGGGGCGTGTGTCTTCTCAGGATTACCCCACAGTCTCGCGCAAGACCCTGGGGTAATTTGCGGCTGGGCCAGGGGCAAAATTACCTTGCTTGGTCGACAGGACCGCGCGGCTCGAGCTGGCAGCAGAAAACGAAGTGGATATGTCTGACCAACAGCGTCGGCGTTTTGGCATCCTCCGGAGTGCTGTCCTGCGAGCCCGCAAGACATGGCTGGAGAAGAGCGAGCTGCCAGGACACACGTGGCCGGAAGGCCGTGTCTTTACATGTGCCACCGACTGCAGTGGCCTGGAGGCGCCACTCTTTGGGATGAAGCTCCTGGGATTGCAGTTCCGGCAATGCTGGGGAAGTGACATCGATGAGAACGCTCGTCGCTGGATACGTGCGCAAGGGATGTGCCCGCTGCTTTTCCACAATGCCATCGAACGACGCTTGCCAGAGCATGTGGAGCCATGTTGCTTGGACGGCTACTGGCTGGGCTTTCCCTGCCAGCCCTTCAGCGCTGCTTCAGTTCGTGCACGAGGATTCCAGGACAAAAGAACAGAAGTTCTCAGGGCTGGCCTCCGAGCCATGATGCACGCCCGGCCATTCTGGGCAGTGCTGGAGAACGTAAAGGGAATTGTCCGTGCCCGACACCAAAAGGGATTCAAGAAGATGCTCACGCAGGAAGGGATCACAGATCACTATGCAGTTGCCATCGCCAGGATTTGCCCGCACGCGAACCTGCGGGAGCCCATACGAAGACCTCGAGTTTTCTTTCTGTGCACTCGAAAAGACTGTGCTCTCACGGACGACCAGAATCTTGTGAAGGAGCTGCTTCAGAACGTGTGTGCTGAAGTGCAGGGGTCTTTGCCACCTGCTGAGTTGGAGGACTACTTGCGGGATGTGGTCAAAAAGGAGGATGTCGGGAGGGAGAACAAGGGCAAGCAGGGGGCTCCAACTGAGAAGAAATGGGTGGAGCAGCATGGGCAGGTTCGCGAACAATTGGGCCTTCCATATCTTTCTGACATGACGGAGCTTTCGCGCAAGGCAAACCACCTTCCTGGCCTCACACTGCGGCAGCAAAGCCTGGTGGAGATCAAGACACACGGTCTCCAGAAGCACGACTATCCGGTCATCCTCGATGTCTCTCAGTCCTTGGGGCGTGCACCAATGCTGTCTGGAGTGTGCCCTTGCCTGACAAGAGGAGCGCAGCCTGTCATGATTTCTGGGGATGGTCGCGGTCGCCTTCTCAGCAGCCACGAATGCTTGGCGCTCATGGGCTTCCCCCTCAGCATGACGACAATGCCAACAAGTGTCGGGGATGCTGCTCTGCATGCCTTGGCCGGAAATTCGATGCACATCACCTCCATTGCCCTGGCGACCATGCTGGCAATAAGCCTTGTGAACTGGGAAGCCACAGGCAGGGGGGATGCACCTCCGGTCTTGCGGCGGCTTTCTTGCAAGACAAAGGTAACGACGCCCTTGCAGCAGGTAACGCGGGAGGTTGAGAGTTCTGGCTCCATGGGGAAGAAGAAGCAGCGCATTGCCGGGAGGCCAAAGATCAAGCGCCGCCTGAGCGACATTTTCAGCCGGGTGCCAGCATCGTGTGCTGTGCGGAAACCGCGGCCGCGCAGAGCTCAGCACATCAGCTCCACCCCTGAGCGCAGAAGCAGCGCCAGCAGCGCGAGCATCAGAGCAAGGACTCCTGGGAAGGCAGTGGCTGCAAAGCAGCCCAAGAGGCGCCTCAGTGACATTTATGAGTCTTGATCTGAAGGATCTGACCCAGCTTGACACCTCTAATTACTGAATTACTTGCACCGAGCAGGATGCTCACGATTCAACGCAGTGCAAACAGGGACCAAAAATATGATGTCGTGAGCAGCCACAGAAGCCAGAGGAATGCATGATTGACAGTGTTGCGGAATCCACTCGTTGCCCGGGATTCTTGCTTGTGACTATGACCGTACTAAGTTACAGTTTAACTTCCTCCGAAACAAGTTACCTGAACCCATCGGCATCGCTTGTGGCAGGGTGTGGCGGCAGCCGTGGGACGGCCAAGGCAAGGAGTGTGAATCTGCTGAACGGACGCGTTTCTGCGTGCCTGTTGGTGTTTGTGCATGCTGTTCGGGTTTGGAACACACGTGGCTCCAGGCTCCGTGAAGGCAGACTCACCTCCCCGGAATGTAGCTCATCAGCTCAACCCAAAGCCCGAAAGCGTAAACCCCTGCGAAGCCCAAACCCTCACCTCCCCGGAATGTAGCTCATCAGCTCAACCCAAAGCCCGAAAGCGTAAACCCCTGCGAAGCCCAAACCCTACAATAATTGTTTCAAAGTTGTACTTTGCCGCCTGTGTGCGAAGATCTTAATGACATGATGAATGCACACACATATGCAGCCGCATGGAGTCTTTGTACGATCAGCGTGGACGAAATCACGCTGGCCAGAAGACGCGTGAGCAGGGGAGAGGCCACGCGACAGCCAAATCGTCAGGCACAGAGAGGAAGCGCAAGGCATCCTGCAGTGCGTCTGCGGGCAGCGCTAACAAAGGGGCGAAGAAGCATCAGTTGCTGCAGCAGCTGCCCAGGGAGGCCGCTGTGTGCAACCAGCAGCACAGTCGTGAACACCCCGACCCCGAGGAGTTCGCTAGTGTTTGCGCACGCTGCAGATGGACACTCCATCGCAAGACTTGGCAACAGCACTACGGTTCTGTAGCCCTTGGGGGAAAGCGCGCGGTCTGGTTGGCAGAGGTTCCCCAGCGCTTGGCTGCCCTGGGAGGAACCTGGGGCATAGGCTGCGACCTATGTGCCAGCCTGCAGGCACGGCTCACTGCGATGGAGCGCGGCGACCGCAAAAGGGGGCAAGGGAGACTGGACACGAAATGGGGGAGGTATCAAATCAGTACGCTCTCTGCTATGCAGGCCTCCACCATCAGGCCGGACACCCGACACTGGAAAACATCCTGAGGTACTTGTCGTAAACATTTTGAACCATGAGTTAATTAAAACTGAAGTGTTCCCACTGAAGTGTCCCAACAGGGCCCATGCCAAGAGCGACGTGCACCGCACGGCTTTGTGGGCATTCCTGCACCCTGGGCGACCGCTGACAGCTGCAGCTCCGAGCCTCACTGAACGTTACTCGCCTTGTGGATTAGCAGGTGCTGGCAGGTTCCAGGTAAAGTAACAAGCAACATGGGTGTATTGTTTTCACGGTGCACATCTCTTCCCCTCGCCAGCCGCAGGGGAAGCTTTCCGGGGAGCTGTGCCACAGCTGGACGACTTTCTGCGTGTGTGGCGCTTGGCCGCCAGGAGCAACGTCTCAATGGCTGCAATCTCCGGGGTGACGTTCTCAGAGGCCTTCCTCGCGCAGAAGCGGGCCAAGCCTGCCGAGGTGACCCGCTGGGCCGTGACGAAGTTGGTGCAGGTAATGCGCGAGTTCATCCGCCGCAAGAAGGTGGAGACATTGCTCCGGGCCGAGAGCATGACGGTCATGATCGATGACAAGGAGTCGCACAGAGTGATCCTGTATCACTCCAACTTGTCGCACGAGCCATACGGGAAGGGCCTGCTTCGAGCCTTCCGTCCTGGTGCCAAGGAGGTGGTGTCCTACGAGGAGGACTACTCCATGCGCATGGCCAAGTCCGTGGAGGAGTCCCTCTTGTTTCTCAGCACGCCAGTGCATGGGGAGTGCGACCCCCACGTCTACGAGCACCTGCGCCAGATCACGAGGTTCTACACCAGCGACGGGCTTCCTGCAGCCCTCAAGTGCGGAGAACTCCTCACGCAGATGCTGCCAAATCTGACACTGGTTCACCGAGACACAGCGCATGCCGTGAGGCTAGGCGGAATAAGCGTGCATTCTCTGCTAGTAAAATAACATTACAGATTCGAACTCACAGAGCGTGTTGTGCAGGCTGGTCGCCAAGCGTCCGCTGGCCGCGGAGTCGGCCTGGAACGACATGCGGGAGGTGCTCTTTGGCTCGGGGGGCCTCATTCCGGACTTGATGAATAGTTGGGAGCTACGGTCGAAATTTCTTGCCGTGCAGAGGGATGCATCTAGACTGTGACACTTTGGCAGTATTTGTTTTCCAGGTTTTCGGATCCCTTGAGGGCCACTGCAACGCCCGAGTCCTAAGCCCTATACACGGCCACGTACCCCCTTGCCCCTGCCTCCCGAGGCTGCATCATGTGGGGAGTGGCAGAAGCCTCTAGAGGTGGCGCTGAAGCACCTCAGCTTCGCTCCCCAGCGCTGGGATTCGGAAGCGTCGCCACTGCGTCGCTTTGCTGCCACCCTGGTCCCCATTGCGTTGTTCCTGGCCATCCAGAGCCAGGACATGCGCAACTGAGTAGCTGGATGAGTACACTTTAAACTTGTTTGGATACGACTAACTGGAATCCCCTATCTAGAACTAAAAGTGCACTTTTTGGCAACTAAGGCAATAAGGCGCCCTTGCGCCTTAAGTGCTCCCGAACCCTAAGAAAGCTGGAGCCTTGCTTCTTGGTTGACGTGGGGCTGTGCGGGGACTGGTCGGCCGAATGGCTTCGTTTCCTTCGCGTCTTCGACCAAGAGGACCACGACCCAGCTCTGACCTGCAGACAGAAGGGGGAGTTTACCTCCAGGCGAACCATGTCGTGTAGATTTTTTGTGTGGTTCACTTTTCTTCAAAGTTCAAGAGAGGGCATTGTGAATCCACCGAAGTAATTGTACTCATAGGCTCCCGCTCTCTTCGCTCCATCGCAGGCTCTTGACCCTTTTCGTCAAGTGCCACATTCTGGACGACCCAGGGGAGGGGGAGGCCACGACGCTGACAAGACTCATCGTGCAGCAGGCCATGCAATGCCCTGGCATACGGTTTGGGGAGAGCTTGCACTACCTGTGGCCCGGGTCCGCAAAACACACCTTTGACAGGTGCATCCAGTCTCTGCACGCTGTCACGGACGTGGCCCTTCAGGATCTGGACGCAGAGGTGAATGGGTTTGTGCTGGACTTTTGTGTTTTCGATTTGAAGTCCTTCCACCAAGCGAAGCAAAAGCCTGGGGAGTGGGAGACCTACAAACGCCTGACCGACTTGCGGATTCGCCGCCTCGTGGAATCAGGCCTGAAAAAGTCAGCCTATAGGGAGACTTTGCGCGAACGGTGGTGCGCAGCCCATTGCTTGCAGGAGGAGCTCGCCCCAAAGTTTGATGCTGGGGAAGAGGTCGACAACCGAACGGAATGGCGGAGAGTTTGGGAGGACAGCTTTGTCCAGAGAGCCACTTCCTGGAAGCGCTTCAATGCACTGCCATCATTTGTGAATTATTATCTGGGGTTTCGCGATTCCAGCACGGGGGTCGAAAGAGCTTTGGCTGTGGTGGAGCGATTGCGGCAGGCGCATCTGGGGCCTTTGGGACTCACGCTGCACGACCTGGCTGAAATATCCTTGGATGGGCCTCAATCAGAGACCGAGCTGGCCACCCGCCTAGGTCAGGATGGGGAGCACCCAGTCTTGCAGGCAACAGACATGTGCGTGGAGATGGTCAGCATTTGGCGCTCGCTCTTCGGCGCTCGTTTTCGACTCTACAAGCCCAGGGCTGACGCAGGCCGTGCTCGTGGCAAACGTTCTGGCACAGACGCAGACATCGTTCGACGAACCACTGCCGGGGCTAATCTGCTTGTCTGCAACGCTGGCAGGGTGGGCGAGGGAAGTGTGACGATCTTGGGCGTCAAGAGGAAAGATCTCCCTCGGCATGAGGAAGCCTATCAGAAGAACCCACAGTTCAACCAAGACCTGGAAGACTTGTACAACAGCGCTGCAGAGAAGAAACAAAAAAAGCTGGACATGCGCAACCAGCGACGAGATCACCCGGAGACATCTGTGTATCGACCCGGTCCCCTTCGCAAGGCCACACTGCTTGCAGACGCAACGCCGGCGCCCAGATCTGCAGCTTTCGACTACACGAGAAAGAGAGCCCCCAAGATCGTGGATCTTACCCTGACAGGCCCTTCTGTGCAGTGCGAGGCCGGAACAGTCATGAGGCCGGGCAATTCTCACAGCATGGGGGACATTCTGGCCTTTGTCCGGGGATGCGATTTGATCGTCGTGTCCAGTTTCAAGCATCTGCAGTGTTTGCCGAAGTTCAACGACATCCTGCGTCTCGGGTGCAGTTCACGCATTGCCACCAACATCGCATGTCATCTTCTGTCGGTTTAAGGTTTAAGGTTTCGGGTTTCAGGGTTTTTTTAGGGTGTTCAGGGTTTCAGGGTTTTAGGTTGTTCAGTGTTTTGAAGTATCAGGGTATTTAAAATAAAAGAGGGTTTTCAGGGTTTTGGGGGGTCAGGGTTGAGGGTGTGTTCCTCCCCTGACACTTGTAAGTCTAGGCCGCTCTTCCCGCTGGTGTACTTGGCAGCTGTCGGCTTGGGGAAGGACATCATCGAGAAAGAGACGTGGGGGAAGTCCGGCCCGGCCCAATGCCATGAGGCTGCTTTGAAGGATGCGCTCACGATCAAGTTCTCCAGTGCGTTCCGTGGGAAGCATGCGGCCAGCTGTGACTTCATACAGAAGCTCTGCGAGATGTGACTTGGAGGAATTCAGTCATTGTATTTTGTTCAACAATGAATGATAGTCTACTCAACTGTGCACATTGGCGCAATTTTGCTGGTCCTCTCCCACACGGTGCCAGGCGGCAGAGCCAGTGGCGCATTGCAGACCCCGACTCCGAGAACACAGAGTGTGTGGATGTCGGGGACACGCGCCAGCTTTTCACCGTCGCGCAAAAGATGCGGCGCTTAGTTCGTTGTACAGGGGTGGCGCATCCATCTTTGAAGAGATGATGCAGGGGGTCTTCTTTCGACGCTTCAGTCATTAGAAGAAAAAATGTGTATTCCAGAATAACAGGGAAGCTTACTAAAGACGTAATACTGTTACTATTCCCTTCTCCCTTGTACGGAACGTACCCCGAATTATAAAAGCCGATTTTGCCTTTCAAGCCCTATTCCGAGCCTATGCCGGTGTAGGGGGAGGGGACAAGCCAAACCCCAACCCAAAAGATGGCACATGGACATTTCGAGTTTCTGTTGGGGGGGGGGGACAGACAGGGGAAGGAAGTAAGCTGCTGGATCCATGCGTGCACAGCTCCGTTGCCAGGTCATTCAGATTTCAGATCGTGGAGGCTCGCAGCACAGAATGGGAGAGAGAGACAGGGCAGGGCAGGGGGACACATCTTGTTGCCTGTGTTAGAGATTGGGCTGTGCGCGAGAAGCAGACATATGATTCGCAAGCATGTCTCGCAGCAGAGAATGGGAGAGAGTGGGATCATGATGCAATATTGAGGCTCAGTACCGAGTTGCAAAAGAGCGTGAGGGTGTTCAGCTTTCAACAACAACCTTCGACATCTGCTGAGCTAGGACGGGGCACTAGCAGACTTGGTTCGCAAACATGTCGTTGGACACACGAACCACCGGCAAACAGACGCCAAAGGCGTCGGCGAAAGCGCCTGCGCCGGTGTCGCAAGGCCCGCCGTTCAAGCGGGGAAGCGAAGAGGCATCAGCGATCCCCACCGCCCCGCTGAAGGCACCGAGGTTGGACGACGCATCCTCTGCGGTGCGCCCTGGGAACAAGTTGACCCCACCCCAGCTGCCGGACGACGACGACTGTGGGGACGGATTTGAGGTGTTGCGGGAAGTCATTCCTTATGCGCCTGGGCATGCTTTCAGCACGTCATGAGCTGCGCGTTGCCATAGTCGTTGCTGTTGCCTGCTGGCATTCAGGTGAGGGCTGCTTTGGGGAAGGTCCTGCAGGAGGAGGGGCTCGCAGAGCCGGGCTGCACAAGCCTTTCAGACTATCTGCCTTTGGATGTGAGAGACTCGTCTGGGTCTAGGGCTCAGTGTTCGCTCTGAGTTTGCATGGATTTGTTGGGTATCGGTTCTGCTGTGTTTGCTTCCAGACAAGGTACAAAGAGGCATGGGACTGTCAGAACGCGTTGAACTCACTGACAAAGAACGGCATCTACGAAGCAGGGGCCGTCATGACGTGGTTGAACCCATTGGAGTCCCACAACCTGCCACTCGACCCTCCAAGCTTCAAGCAGATCGTTCGATCCGAGCAACGGCTGATTCCCACCGTCACCAAGGGTCAGGAACGGATTGTGTGGCCGGCAGCGTTGCACACGTATGTCTTCCATGATCACATCCCGCAGGGCTACCCCAAAAACATGTTCTTGGCCTCGGGCCACGCGTTGGCAGCAGCTTGGTGGGTGCCTGTGCTGCAAGGAGATAGCCTGAGGGATTCTTCTTCCGGAGGCAGTTTCTTCTCTTTAATAGCCTCCCCCATTGACTCTTTCTGTGGGCCCGGAATATAATTTAAGAGTCCCGGAACTCAATTATAAACGAAACCCTGGGTCCAGTGCCTTCTTTCACACAGCAATGCTGTTGAGCTTCATAGTAGTTGAGGTGTGTCCCTCAGCCCACTGCAACAGCCCGACCCCCCCCGAATGGTGGAGATGGGGGTTTTAAACGAAGTCAACATTAGATGGCTTGAAGGATTCCATGAAGATGAGGGTGTAGGGATGGGCTTAGGGCTTCGGGCTGAGGGTTTATGAGCACTGCGTCTGGTAAACAGGTTCCATTCTTGCGCGTGTTTGGGAAGGTTTTTTTTTTAAGTGTACTGTTGTTTTAGCTGTGCTGTCGCAAAGACCATGCTCAGGTAGCTATGTGCCGGTGCCTTCGGGAGGACAACATGAGCGGGTTGAAGCTTCTGTGGCTGGCAGGGAGGTCTGTGACTTTCACTTGCTATGTCATCAAAGACCCGAAGGAGCTGGTGTTCCGGTCTTTGTATGCTTCCGAGGATTATGCGGCGCTGGGGGAGCTGACGGACAGCTGGATACACTGGTCCGGGAAGGTGAACGCATTGTTGGCCGACATGGCCGGAAAGAAGAACCAGGAGCAGGAAACCTGGCTCAAGGAGAAGAAGATCGCCTTCAAAGGTGCCACGATGTCCAAGGGTCTGTTGAACGCGGTACTTTCAATGAAGCGCTTTCCGAAGGACTCATTGGTGACCCTCAGGAAGATCGAGAAGGAGTTTGGGGTGGAGGTTTTCAGTTCGGGCTACACGAAGTTGACCCGCATGTCGCAGCTTGCGTCGAGCCATCTCACCAATGTGGCAGCAGCTGTGCCTTGGACGCAAACACAGTGACGATGTTAGGGCTGAAGGGACTGTAGTACTTAGGCATGCTAGAGTGCGTCCCCGACCCGCAAGGCTGTGGAGGATGGCCTTGGATTTGTGGTGGACCTGGCTTACATGCAGCTGGTGACGAAAGCCACGGACCCGAGTTTCTACAGCAGCAAAAACTTGGAAGTCAAGGGCGACAACGCAGGGTGGTACCTCACCAGCTTCGGGAAGTACAACATGATTTCGCAGCTCTTGGTCATCGCGAATGGCATGGGTGATGCTGCGCGTCCATTGTTTGAGTCCTTGGCAAAGATTGCAAGACCCCTCGAGTTCTTGAAGATGCATCCGCCTGTCCAGGAGGACGCAGGGGAGGGGGACCATGACGATGGGGCGGACAAGGACACTGGCAATGCAGATGACAGTCTGGAGTGGCAGAATCTGCAGGGGGCTCACAAGAGGGTTTACCAGCTTGCTCGCGACCTCTACTCCTCCGAGTATGATGCGGACCTGATCAAGATGGCCAAGCCACTCGGCAGATCCAGCTCCAAAACCCCAGGTGTCCAAGATGAGCTATTCTTACTTCTCGCGTTGGCGAAAAGTGCACTAGTAGACATTGCCCATGAACCAGTGCAGTTGTCTGTCTCCTTTTTACGATTTTTTGGATTTCCGGGTTCTCTTGGCAGTGTCCCTATATAAGCAAGGGTCGCTGCGCAATATGCTGAGGAAGAATGTGCTGGAGGTCTTGTCGGACACTGAGTCCAACTTGAGCGGGCTGAACTTGCACAAGGAGTGGTCGGGCGCGTTGAAGGATCTGGAGCGATCTGCCACAGTCGTCCCCACCACAGAGAGTGCTGCCCCCAGCCTCAGCGTGCGCCAGCTGGTCCGCATGTCCAGCATGGGGAGGACGGCCCGTCCTCGCGCGGCCTTGTTTGCACAAATGTGGTTTGGTATTTGGGGTTCGGGTTTAGGGTTGAGGGTTGATAGGTTTTCGGCTAGGGTTTAGGGAACCCTATCTCTAAACCTAAACCCTAAACCCTTAACCCTAAACCAATCTGAGGCAGCAGGGCACAAGCCGAAAGGGAGGACCTCTGGAAACAGTCGCAAGCGCAGAGGCGCAAACTGGTGAACTTAGCAGTGGGGAGAACAGAAGCGGAGCTTTCAGCTGCATGGAACAAAGCAACGGCCGAGGCCGTGCGCTCCTGGGGGGGGACCCTCAATGAGTCCCACAGGCTGTTCGTGTACAGCGCGGATTTGGCAGAAGAAAGTCAAATCAGCCCGTGGACTACCCCGGGCTGCTTGGGGGGCACGAGGGACGAGGCTAAGGTGATCCTCAAGTGGGTCAGGGGGGTGGCAAACAAGGTTTCCGACTTCATCGCCGTCTTCGATGGCAGGAACCTGAGCAACCGCCGCTTTCTGGAGGAGGAGATGGGGGTGGCCAGCTCCAGCTCGACCACTTCGGAGCTGTGCGTGATGTATCGGCAGAACCACTCCTCAAGGCCAGGCCGCAAGGTCTTTGGATCCTCGCCCTCGCGAGAGACTGGCTATCTGTGTGGGCAGGTGGCCCGGGTTCGCCTGACAACCGTCGAGCGCAAGGAGGGGCAGCAGTCACAGTGATTGTTATTTACCGTTTGGGGTTCTGTGTGCAGCGGTCCAGGGTGTAATTATGGTTGAGAGTTCAGGGTTCAGGGCTGAGGGTTCAGCATTTCAAACTACATATTGACAAGAAGTCATTCATGTCATTAATCAAGTAGGGTGTTTGTGACATGGAGTGCTGATGCCCACCCACGCAGAGAAAAAACCTCGCTCTTTATTAATCCTTCTCCTTGCCCTTTTCCTACTCCTTCTCTGTCTCTTTGTTTTTTTTCCACTCTCTCTCTCTCTCTCTCTCTCTCTCTCTCTCTCTCTCTCTCTCTCTCTCTTTTCTCTTTCCATTCCTAGACCAGGCCCAGACGATGCAAAAATTTAGAAGCATAACAATCGTTTGTGGTCAAGCCTGTGCCCCAAGCAGTAGGCCCGGCTACCTGAGAGCAAACTCAGCACGAAGAGACCGTACTACCCTTTACAGTCTAGGTTGAAGGTAGGGTTTAGGGCTTATAAGCTAATAGGGTTCAGGGGTAAATTTTTGTCGGCAAAGAGCATGGCCAGGATGACTATCTGCCAGAGGGAAGTGACAAGTCAACCTATGAGCTCAGCTTTGCGGGAGTGGAGCTGCCTGCGCTGGTGGCGTTGCCGCGGATTGGGGAGGCGGAGAAGGAGCAGATCTTGGGAGCCAACAAGGCGGGAAGCAAGCCCAGATCCTGGACCCGGAGTGGGGTCCCGCTTTTCTGGCAGGAGAGCAAGTTGGGAGCTCAGTGTTCCAACCACTCCCTTAACACATTTCGCTGCACGTCGTTGTTGACCTATTGACAATGGTTAATAATAGTTCTGTCCGTCGTAAGGTCCACAAGCTTCTGGGAGGCTTTCATCGCCATGAACCGCTGCAACTGCGTGGTGGACTTGACGCCAGGCTCGGGGAGCCTGGCGAAGGCGTGCTTGCGCAGGGGGGTGCAGTATTGGGGGTGCGTGAAAAAGAAGCTCTGTCATAGTAGGGTAACATTGTACATCTTGTAAGGGTACTTAAACTGAATAAGGAATAAGGTTTTTTTCCTTACCATCCCAACCATGA